GTCGCTGTCCTGTATCTCACTTCTGGGATGAGAGTGAACCTCGTCTTTTTGTTTGTGAGACGGTGCCAATCAGCTCTGAATCCTCATCAAGTAGCTACATGGATCGGGTAAAGGCCTGTTGTAAAATAACCTGCTTAAAGACATATATAAATTATGTTAATATATGTAATTAAATGGCTAAAAAGTAGTTTGACTGTGCGCTGCCTTCCGTCTCTTTAGGTGGATGTGTCAGTCGTGACACTCTTCTGTACGCAGGAGCATGGGCTCCTCCTACAGGACTGTTACCCCAAACCTTCAGGCCTACAAGCCCTCCTCGCTCTGGATGTGCCCTACTATTGTTTTAGCTGCAAGGTGAGAAGACAGAACACTCTGTTCTGCTTGTGTGTTGTCTTTTAAGGCGTGGGAGTGGGGCGCTCCTACACAAATGTATAATGTTTCTCTCTTGAAAGTTTTGAGTTGGTTGTTTTAAAATCTTGCTATTTTTTTTGTATCCACATATTTGTTGTGTTTTTTTTGTTCACACCTATCATTACTCTGAAACTCTGCTTGGTCTAACACACCCCAGCTATTATTTCGGAGGGGTGGTGTCTTTCAGCCAGAAGTAAGTGTCTGTCCCCTGCAGTTTGTTCCGAAACCTTCAGTGTTCTCGACTCCCACTTTCCAGTGATTGTGATTGTGACAGCCTTTGACGGCCAAGTGCTGCGTTTAAGCAAAATTGAAAATATCGACTCCCCAGCACCAGCAGCACAAATGCGTCCTTGCAATATTTCAAGCTCACTAATGTGTGTCCAATTCCTACCGCAGTCGTTTTGATGAATAGATTTGTTCTGTGATGCTTTGTGGTTACGTTTGCTCTGCCTCCTACCTGTTCCCCAATATCTGTGTTCCCTTCATCGTTTTATTTTTTTGATTCCTTCACAAAATGCCTCATTTATTACGATTTGTGAATCCGATAGTCTAACACCACGCCTTCCTACCTGGTCTTGCACTCTTCAGCCAGGTGAGAGGGATCCAGGGTTAGCAGAGCTTTCACCACCACCTTCACACCAGAACCAGACTTCCAAAGGAGCGATTGCCCAGTTCCCCCATATGGTGTCCAGGCGACCTCTCAGAGACTTTGTGGGCCTGGAAAACTGTGAGAAGGCCACCCGTGATGCCATGCTCAACTTTAGCTTCTACTTGACTATTGGTGACATGGACGAAGCCTTCAAGTCCATCAAACTCATCAAGAGGTAAGACGTCAGTACATCGTCATGTGTCAGCTCACTGAAGACATACAGCGTCATACACTCACTGGGGACACACCCCCATGTTTGATCACTGTCATCACACTCCCACTAGTCTTTTCCACAGGGGCTTTAGTTCAAAGGCTGAGCAAAACACACGGGGGTAGCATTGTTACCACAGCCTTGACTCTTCTCAGAACGCTCCACAATGGTTTGCAGTGGGAGAGCTGTAGCAAATTGGTTTTGACTTATGTAGAAAATGCGGCATTGTTGCTGTTTGCCTTTCTTCGCTCCTCTTTTCACTCAGCACCTTTGACGGTTAAGGTCAGACTGCCACAATAGTTCTGTAACCTAACCCCTGATGTGCTCTCTTGAAGTCTTATCAAGGCACTCAGCCCTGTCTATTTTGGTATTTTCTTTAAAGAATTGCCTGTAAACAATCAGAATATTTTATAGGTTGGGACAAAAACACACCAAGGGTTTTTGAAAATGCGATTCCATTTAAAACCATATACATGTGTTGTTAAATAATATGTAGTTTTAAATCACACCATCATGCAGCACCAAAATAACATCCACCAAAGCTACATTTTTATTTGTTTATGTAACTACATTAAATAGATTTTACAACACAGGACATGATTAAGGAGTTTTTTGTGGGTCTGTGCTGAGGGAAGGAACTCTTCAATGTGTATATATGTGACTGTTTCTGTTAGTGTGCGGGTGTGTTCTGAGGGGATGTACTTTTCTAAACACATTCTGAGTCACACATGAGGTCCCCCTGCCAGTTTGGTCCAAAAGGAGTGCCCCTTCCATTCTTGCAAACATTAAATCAGGTCGCTAAAAGGATGTGTGTGTCCGTTCCTGTAGGTGTGTGTGTGTGTGTGTGTGTGTGTGTGTGTGTGTTAGGAGGCTGTATATGGGATTTCAGCAATGATGTGATGTTATCTGTGGACGAATACGTGATTCGGGGCACTCGTCCTGAATTCCGCTGCTGCTGTAGCTTTCGCACGTACAAACATTACGCAAATGGGAAAATAGCGTAAAAACAAACAAATGGGAAAACAGCATATTACACTGGCCGGATATTCCAAGGAGTTTAATAGGCCTGATGACAGCTTTACGAAGTTCCACATTGATGGCTATTTTTACTGCTGCTTCGCTTTTTTTTAAAAAGATTGGTATTGTGTTCGATTCCCGCATATCTCCACCCACAGGAATATGCATTTCCTGCAGCAGTAACCTGTATCTTCTGGGACTTGTGTCTGTGATGGAGATCTTTGAATCAACAAAGGTTCTCATGTATAGTCTGAATTTGACTCAGGAACTAGAAGTCAGGTTTGTTTCATCTAGCCCGTGTATTTGAGGTGATATGAAGAAACGTGCTGGCAACACTACAGATGATACACCTGTCTCACACATGTCCAGTAAAGGGTCAGTTCACACATGTCACAGGTGTCAGCTACCTGTATGTGTGAAGTACAAAATCCGCTGCCTTGCATCATCAGAAGAAGCTTTTGTGTCCGGTGTTTGTGCGTGTATTAATGGAGCTTTTCTCAGCCTCGCCCCTGGATGTTCTGACTCAAGCTGAGACAATGACGTTAAGACATAAAGCAGATAGTCTCAGTATGAAAGTCCCTCTGCTGCCTAAAGCAGTGTGTCAGATACAGGTTGGAATGTCTCTTTCAGTCCAGACTGTGCTACTTCCTTGCATTCACTTTGTCCTTGACTTTAAGGTGACATGTTACAGGGTTATCTTCCCATATCAATGCGAGCCTTGTCGCACTATCTTTTGCATTGCATTTGCTATTTAAAAGGTAAAGTCCCCTTTCCATCAGGAACTAAAACACCCGAGGAAGTGTTCAGGCTGGGACTGATATGATGTTGTAGTCATAGTTGGCTGCGGTACTTTCAACCCTCATGCTCTCAGGTTATGCTCATGTTCATGAAATGTTCTTCTCTACTGTTATTCTGTTATTCTTTAAAGACACTAATACCATCGTTTCCTGAGGCATCCAGCAGAATCTGAATTGCATTTAATATAGATATCTTCACAGAAGATAGTGGGACTGTTGGTATCATTTTCCACCTGGCAGGTGTGAATCATCTTTTGTATAATGATAGCATAGCTGGAATTTAAAATGATTCTGTTCACTGCTACTTAATCTGAATTACAGCATTTTTTAGTTGCATTTTAAAGGAACAGGGGCTGCATGGTGGCTCGGTGGTTAGCACTGTCACCTCGCAGCTAGAAGATCCCCGGTTTGCATCCAGGTTAGGATGCCTGGGATCTTTCTACGTGGAGTTTGCATGTTCTCCCCGTGCAGCGTGGGTTCTCTCCGGGTTCTCCAGCTTTCTCACACAGTCCAAAAACATGTTGAGGTTAATTGGTGATTCTAAATTATCCATAGGTGTGAATGTGAGTGTGCTTGGTTGTCTGTCTCTAAGTGTGGCCCTGTGATAGACTGGCGACCTGTCCAGGGTGTCCCCTGCCTTCATCCTAAGTCAGCTGGGATAGACTCCAGCCCCCCACGACCCTAGTGAGGATTAAGAGGTGTATAGATAATGGATGGATGGATGAATGCTTTTGTGTCTTTGAGTTCAATTGCTGTAGCACACATTCTAAATCTATATTAACACTTTTACTTACACACTCACATTTTCATACAATACGGTATAACTTTAAACTACTTGAAGTGATCACATCCCTACATTTTCTCTCATGAAATCTGAAACGTGTGTGAAATAATGTCACAGCGGACTAAACAACACTGTCCATATAGTTTTGAATATTCAGATCTGCAACAAGCTCAGCTACTGCCCAACCAAAATGAAAAAAAAGATTTTACAGGGCTTAACGTTTACAGTTTACACTTACTTTGTGGTGTTTTATTCAACATGTTATCAATGAGGAAATAGAGTCCATCCTGGCTGTCGTTAGAATGAGAAGCTAAGCGCAGAGAGTTAATTTCAATCACTTTACCGTCATTGGATGATGGTTTATTAGGTGTTACACACAAAAAACACCAAATTTACAAGAAAAAGACTAACAGGCAGCAGAGGAAGAAGTGTAAATTCAGCTTCACTTCCCTCTCACTGCTGAATGCTGTGTCTCTCTTTCTGTACGCCTGATTTTTTTTTTGTTGGGTTTTTAATTTCTTGAGTGAACAAACAGGCTATTTTATTTTTTTATTTAGTTTTTGCTTAGCTGGCTGTAGTCATTTATATTCAGCATCTTTCCTAAAAAAATAATTAGCTACGGTGAAGGCCCACTGTCATTTTATAGATACTAGGGCTGAAAAACCTTCCATTTTTAATCCTTACGGTTAATCTGCTTTTCATTCTTTAGCTACAACAGAATAGTGCATCCACAAGCTCCGCTTGCATAATTTATTTGAAATGAATCTTAACTAACTCTTAACAAATATCAAACTCATAACAGTTTTTAAAGTTGGACAATGAGGGTCATTCTTTGGAATCTGTGATAAAATATTGTGATTTTCTGTTCTCAGAGGTCACGTAATGACACCTGAAGAAACTTAGGTTGACTGTGTGCTGTGATTTATGGTTAAAAGCTTCTGAAAAAGTTAGTAAATGTCCTTTGAATGTAGAATATCAGAGAATTAGTCTTGAGTCAGTTGCTAAAGTTTAAACTTGTTCCTCAATGTTTTAAATAGCTTTCTGTCCTATTTCTTATCTGACATTTTTAAAGATGTTCAATATGTCAGGTGTGGTGTTGGACACCAAGCAGTAGTAACAACAGCCACCAGTGTGTTTGAATATTTACCAATAAATTTATTGAATTTACATGGTATATTATTATTTGACTGTGCCCCTATGCTCGGCAATGTGAAATACCCACACGTAGCCCCGAGTTCTTTGCTGAAATATGATATGGTCACGACAATACTACTACTAATGATAACACTATTCTATCCTTTAATATTATATTAATTTAAGTATACAATATGTACCACAAGCGAGCAGAGATTCATATGGAAAGCATCATAAACAATAAACTTTAGTAATGAAATGTCATTTCCAATAGCAGGCAAAATAGTTGGTATCATCAGTTTAACAAAAAATGCTTTTAAAAAAACAACCCCAAATAAATTCACATGTAATAATTGGCAGGTCATTTGTCTTTTTTATTTTCTGTTTCAAGAGAAAAAATGTGGCAAAACCTCATAAGTGACAAAATACCCTCATATCTTCTTTGATCAAACTGTCACCGTGCAGTGGCTGTTTTAAAATTCAATATCCTCACTGATTTGGAAAAGCACAACTAAAAAGTTTGCTGACTGACTCTTCTGCTTTTACCTTGTTAGTTACCTACGTACTTGCGAAGTATACCGTTAATATCAATATGTAATAAAGTTGTAATGAGCTTTGTACGGACGGAGACAAATATGAGGTATTCTGGTATTATCATTTTAACATCTTTCATTATTTCCAATTTATAATTATGCAGGAGACAATTTAATAAGTGTGCATTTAACAAAATAGGTCAAGTTCCAGCTTGATCTTTTCATCAGGATGTTTTATAGAAGACAGTCCTCGTCCAAATTCCATCATTAGCTCACCCAAGCATGAATACATGGAACATCATACAATGTTTGAATATGTCTGGAACTTCAGAGCTGCTTTATACATTAACTGTAGTTAAATATGTGACTTCTGTGCACTAAGCAGCAAAAATAATTCAGATATTTTTATTTATAGTGGAAGAAGTGGGAGAAATTGAATACAAATGCATGTACATGTTAGTCCAGCTGCTGTAGCACCACAGGAGTGTCTTCTTCTCTAGAGAGTCACATCGCAGACACCCTGCTGGAATAAAACAGGAGTAGCTGAGAGCACAGTCTTGTCACTGTCGTCCGTTAGTCCTTATCGGCTTGGTTTGTGAAGTGCTGTGTCTCAACAAGGCGACTCGACGTAGTCGTTGTCTAGACGTGGGTGGAAAGGTGATGCCAGTGAGCGACTGATGATTATGACCGGAGGTGCGAGGCAGTCATCGCGGCGGTGTAAAATGTTCCAGATGAGCATGGCTGCAGCCAATGTGGCCAGCAAGCAAGCAGCTATGTCCAAGTAGCAGGAGTAGGACAGGTGTGTGTAGGGTCCGATCCTGTAGAAGGTCACCAGTCCAATCACCAGCACAAAACCTGCACAGAGAGAAAAGATCTCATCAGTGGAAATACATTTACCAACATCTCAGTTAAAATATGTACTTTTCAGGCCTCGGCAAACTAAGAATTTTTATGGATTCTGTGCTGTTTAAAAAAACAAATATAAACCAATTACCTTTATATCTGGTAATAAATTGAAATATTTGACTAATTAAAATTTTAACCTAATTGTGGCACTAGTAAAACAATCAAAGTCTAAGTCATTACAGTTCATCCTGGAGGGTGACGTGAAGATCCAAGACATTTCATTCAAATGTCAGAAAAAACTACCTTGTAGTGGAAGTTGAGAATTTCAAGGATGACCAAAACCAATAGAATTCATTCTCTGTAGATCAGGAATACCTGTGCACATTTCATAGTAATCCATAGTTGTGTTTTGTGATATTTCCAGGGCAATATTATGCCAAAGAGACCGACAGATCCACATTGTCATCTATTCACTTCAGTTCCATTAAATTTCATTTATATCACGCCAATTCACAACAAGACCTTATGATTTGGGAAGTGGGATGAAACCAAAAAAAGCAAAAAAAAAACCCACCCCTTTAATGGAGAGAAAAAAAAAAACCTGTGACAGAACCAGGCTCAGAGAAGGCGGCCGTCTGCCTTGACTGGTTGGGCTGAGAGTGATCCATGGAGCGACACCACTAACACGACTACATACTAGGTCTGCACTATGATGTCTGCATTGGCCCCAAAATTAACCACTTTAGGAAGATTGTTTCTGTCAGTGTAAAAATTCAAAGTTTTGTTTGAAAATGGTAACTAAAATAAAATAGCTAAGATAAGAGTCAATACAGTAATATGTTAATTCCACTACACGAGAGATGGGATTTTCTCTACTACAAGACGAAATAGATATGTGCATAAAACAATATCAGCAATTGGCCTAATTGAGTTGGAAAATATGTGCATATCAGGCATCAGCAAAAATCCAGTACTGTACTAAAAACTGGTTACAGAAAAGAAAAAAAAAGTTTTTTCTCCCCCAGTTTTCTCTGAGCAAAGCAATCTGAAAAATGCTTCCTTCTCTATCCTATCACCATGTATGCATGTGTTTTTCTAGTTCAGAAAACTGAAGTCTAAAGCTCAGGTAATGTAGAAGGCTGCATTGCCGAATGTGTCTTGAAATCCCTCATGCTGACAATAAGACATCCATCCCTGCAGCCCTGTATCTCACTGTTCAGCTGGATCTCTGTGTGAGGTCTTTGATTTTGGGAAATCTGTTTCCTCTTAGGAAGAATGGCTGAGATCTCCAGATTAAAGTTCTCAATAGTGCAAAAATATCAGAGCCTGAATATAAGGTCGGAAACGCCTTTGAGATGTTTTATCTCCTGATTTCTTTGATTCGCTGCAGTTTAAATGAGGAACTCCTGTTTGGATGTGAAGGTAGAAAGCCACAGCCTTCGGTTCCATGCTGTTTCTTTGATCCTTGCTTTGTTTTATCGAACATTATCAGCATTATTTAATGTCTCCATAGCCCACACCTTTCCTCATTCTTTACCTTTAGAACCATATATGAAAGCAATGCTTCTGAAGTATCCCCAGGCGCGATCACGTTCAGTGCATTCAAGAGTGGTCCGGAGCCATTCAATAGTTCAACAGTAATACGTGTCCGAAAAACCTGCCCCATCCACAGTGGTATAAATATAGGAACCAAAAATAATCAGTGGAAATAGGGATGTTAGTGCTTTAGGATATGAATCAGTCAGTTTCCTGAAGCAGTCAGCGGCACCAATGGGGGGAGTTCATAGATTTCTGTACCACTGCAATAAGATGGCTGTCATTGTTTTAAGTGAGGATGTGGATAATTGTGTCTGTGTATCATTGCGTGTCAGCCACCGTGTGTACACTTAAGAATGCAACAGTTTGCTCATTCTGTTCATGTTTAACCTGTCTGGCTCCTTATCCAAGAAAATGAATAAGATCCTGTTCAGGTTCCAGCCAGGGTGGGCTGTGTGAACCTTCTTTTTTGGCACAGACTTATCTCTTAAGCTTCCTTCCCCTTCTTCCTCTTTCCATCCTTCCTTCCTTCCCTCCTCACCACACCCTGAGCTTCAAGGGTAATATATTACAGTCGCTGGACATTTGACATTATCTGTCATGGAGAAAATCAAAGTAAACCTTTGTTAAGGGTAGTTCTTGGAAATTTCCTTCCAGTTGCCGTTTTGGTTTATTCTTAACAGGAACAGAATTACTCGCATGCTTGATGTCTTAGTCAAACTTTAGTCTGGGATCTATTGAGCACATAGACTTCTAGGGAAAAATGATTGAGCACGGATTCATATGAATTCCTCTGAAGTTCCTCGGAACTAAAACCAACAATGAGCTTCATCTTAGAGGTGTACGATCTGACGTGCTGACAGCTGACACTTTGGAGCCCGGCCCATTCAGAAAACACATTCCAGAGACGTCTCCAGGGGTGAAACGGCCGGGTATTGTGCTTGTAGTGTGGACCCGCTAACGCTGCTGAGATATCAGTCTATGGAGTTTAATATTGTTATTCCACACTCTCACACTCTCCTTGCAATTGTGGAGCATTTTGGCACGTCTGAAAATGAAAACATTCCAGAGAAAGAGAGCGATGGGTAAAAATATCTCCATTCATTCATAACTGAAGCCTATTCACTGACTCAGTGGGGGAGGGCTAAAGCAGGAATGGGGACTGAACTGCTGAATGGTAGAGGCCTAAACAGCTATCTGTATTAAGAAGATTAGACCCTTTTAATTTGCTAAAACGAGGCCACCACTTGTGTATTTTGCATCCTTTTGATGAGGAATTAGGGCTACAGTCCTCTATTATTTACATTGTTGATGATTGTGGTGATTATTCAATTAATAAGTGACTTGTTTAAATCATAGTTAATGTCCACATCATTTTTTAGGGTTTGGATGAAAATGTTTTGTTGCATGTTTTGTCCAACTAACAATACAAAACCTTAGAAAAAAGGCGCTTTTATCTTCCATGTTAGTGATGTGACTCTAGGGATGGCAGTGTTGATTCACATTGCCCTAGATGGATATATCCCAACAAGTATTGGATAGATTCCTGTAAAATTTGGAACAGATACCAATCCTAAGAGTGAATCCTGATTTTATATCAACCACAACCAGGAAATCAAAGCTTTCATTTATCTACAAAGTATCTCAAGAGAAGAAGCTTAACAACTCAAAATATATCAATTCCTCTGGCTACATATCCTCAGCTGTGTTTTGTTTGGTGCTACTTAGCAAATTTTTGCATGTTGTGATGCTAAGCTAAGATGTTAAATACAGTGGATGATCATGGTAACATTATTGTGTGTGTGTTTGTGTGCTGACATTAGAAATTAACTCCAAAGCCCACTGTGCCTAAGAGGTCCTTAATATGAGAAACAGTTGGAATTAGCTTTATCTGTGTATCTATATGGTTATGTGCTGGCCAAAGGATCAAGCATCAGTATTACTAGACTTTTATAAACTGATATGCTACTAATTCTAAGGTCAAGAACATAGACAGTAAATACTATACATGTAGTCTACAACGGGACGTCAACATTATAGTACCTTAAACCTGCATTTTTTAATGATCTGCAGGAGGCAACTTCTCTTGTTGCAAAACTAAGTCTGATTGTCTAATAGTCTTTTAGAAAATGACCCTACTTCTCACTAAATAAACATTTTTCTATCAAGTGTTAGGTCTGAATCCCAGGTTACAAGACTTTCTGAATACAGCATGGTGTTCATTTTGTAAACTGTTTTTCTATTAGAAGAACATTGACAATAAAGCTGAGTATGCTTCAGTGCTACTCAATGCGAGTTTGATAGGTTGCTACCCTGTGGGTTAGCATCCTCAAGTTCTCAGTCAGATCTACCGCACGCTCGTCACGTCTGGTTTCAAAAGACCAAGATGCCGATGGCCAAACACCAAACCCGAGCCATCAAAGCAGTAGTCCACAAACCAATGAGCGCCATCACAGTCGCTACACCCATCTTTTATATACAGTATGTGGCCAAGAATAAACTCTGATACTTAACTGTCTCCAAGACAACTGAGCAAACTCCAGTAACTGGTGTGTGACGTGCAATAGACTTACAGTTCTGTAAATAACTAGTAGCTTTGATTGTTCCTATTTAATTCTATATTTTTTTTAAAATACACAACAGATGAGCTATTTTAAGATCTAGAAATCAACAACATTTGTAGAGTAACAGACACGTTTTCCCCTGCGTATCTCAGATTGCCTGTGTAAGGCTTAATGTAAATCATAGTCGTTTTACAGCTCGGTTGGGGAACATCCCATCCGCTGAAAATGTCATCTTGATACTCGGCAGCTTTGTTGACTATATATGGTTAGAGAGTCAAGCTGAAAGATGACATTTTTCCAGGGAGCTTTATTATTTTTAGATGTCAGGGAAGTAGCTATTTATTTCTTTTTACACCAGGAAACACGTCTATTTTACGATTGTCTTTCTTAAACATGTTTTGATGAAACGAGTTCTTGGTCACTGAGGTTTGGCTGCTGGTATTGTCTCATACTGGAAAAGTACAGTAGCACTGGGTGGGTCTCAATCCTCTTGCCAAAGTCTGTAGATAAAAGCTGTCATCCCTGCTGCAATGTGCTGAAGGCAGTCATGATAAAGAGGAGATTCTTTATTTGCTGCTGCTCTTGGACATTTTGTAAACACAGACATAAAAGCCAGGCGAGCTTATCTAGACGGAGGCCATTCCCACCCTGCTGTCATGTGTACCACGGGACATGTCTCTACCCAAGCATGTTATAAACACAATGCACACAGCAGCGTACACAAACACGTATGCGCATAATCCCTCCTGCCAGTGCACACACAAACATACAGTCCCTGTCGAACGCTGTCTTTCCCGTCCATTCCCCCTCCCCTCTTTTTCCTTCTTCAGCTCAGGGGTTTGCATAACAGGTAGTCACAGACATTTCCTCGTCCTGAGCAGGGATATCCTGGCGCCCGACAGTCGCTCCCTGGCTCGCTGCAGCTCTGGCCCATGGATTCTGGACTAGGACTAAATTTAGACTCAGAGCAGACCCCCTTCATGCTGCTCTGATACCAAGCAGCTGAGCGACCACTGCGCACAACACACTTCCTCAGCAGGGACACTGGGACAGGCCGTGGCAGCCAACTCTGAGTGTCGCACAGCAGATTGACTGATAGAGGGATGGGTGCTAGTTGTTAAGGGGAGGTTTTGTTTCAGTGATTGCACTGTCTGCTTCTAATTAACCCTAAAGATTGTTCTGTTTCTCCTATATTCCTTTTAGTTTGTTACCTTTGTCTCTCTTTGCACTAAAATCCAAAACACCGTTCTTTCAGCAAACCATGTTTAAGAAACGTAGAAGTTAAATCCTTTGTTTTGTCTCCACTATTTTGTCACCGTTTATCACTTTTTGTTTTTTTTACATTCTCTACATTTATCATAGGTGTAAATTTGCATTTTGTAAAACTATTGTCTACCAGGCATGTTCAGAGGCAAGGCAAGGTTGAACTCCTACTGGCTGAACACAAGGCAAGAGGTGTCCTGCCTTTTACTCGTGTCTGGAAGTTTTCACAGTGACTTCCTGCAGCATTTGAAGCTGATCTTTAGTATTTAAAAGTCAGCCAATCTACCTCCCTCCCCCCCTCCCTGTGATTTTAGCCCTATTTTATGGCACTCAGCCAGAAACATGTGAACTTTGCTCTGCAGCATCTGGATTTCTATGTTTCTGTGCCAAAATAAAATGTGCGTAGGTTGTCGGATAGACCCTTTCAGATGCAAGGCGCTTTAAACAAACAAACTGTAGGAACGCTGGTACTCACTGGCTAGCTGGAAGAGTGCAGCGATGGCCTCCTCCCACCACTGGGATTCCTGTGTGATGAAGGGCAGCTCCATCAGGCCTAGAAGGAAGATAAGCTGACCGGCTGTCAGGGCCACTGTCGCCATCAGGTTACACGCTCGCATCATGTTAAACTGCACTTGAGGGACCAGAAGAAAAGTTGTGTCAGTTTTCTTGCACAGTGAATGTAATAGTTGTATACAGATGTCAAGCTAGAAAAGCCTAACTTAGAGGTACTGAAGCCATGTAAAACGTTTGCATTCGTAGCACGGTGGCAGGATTATTTCATGAATGGTGCCCCGCTTCTTTGTCTAACATTAGTAGGCAGCGCTGCCCATTGTGCCCAGTAAAGCTGACCAATGGAAGTTCAGCAGTTGCCAGTCTTGTTTTTGAATGGCAATTTCTCAATGGAGCTTAATTTAGCAAGAAGCATATAAATCCATCACAGTGCTGACTTTGCCTGAATGTTTATCCAGCTACTCAAACCCAGTTGGCAGCAACATAAAGAATTAGTAGTACATACCCTAAATTCTTGGCTGGCTGCCCTGGGCTAATGTTTCCTTAGATTTATTTTATGAGTGTGCAAATCAAGTTGGTGCCAGTGACAATGAAATTCTTTTGCAGCGTTTTTTTCAAATAAAAGAGAACAACAACAAAAAAAAAGGACAACCACATGACCCCATGCAGAGACATACCACTGCTTTGTCTCTGTTGAGAACTACTAGCACCAATCAATCAGTTGACATGTTTAATGAGAAAGAGATGTTTTTGGTAATATTTCCTTTTTTTTTTGCTTTTTTGAAACTAGACTTAAACGTACATTTCAAAGTAAAAACTTACATTTGACAGTGCTGCGGGATTCTTGGTAGCCTGCATACTCAGAGCCCCATCCGAGGCCTTCGCACTGTCTCTGTGTCCCTTGCGCCCTTCTCCCAGCCTGGAGGTCATCGCGGCCCTTTTCACCACCTGTGGGGCACATCCTCCATAGTCCCACGCTCCTCTTACGTCCATCCTCCAGAGCCTGCAGGACCCAGCTGGGTGTGAAGGCTGCAACGTTGTTTAGGACCAGGGACAGCAGGGCCACCACCACCGCTGCCGCCACCAGCCTCTGCACGGCCATGCGACGCCCGACGCCCGCCACCTCTCCCCCTCCGTCGCGTCCCTCCTCAGGCTCCTGCTCCTCCTCAGCGTGCTGCCCGCTCCCCGGCCTCTCCTCCGGGCCAGTAGCACCAGCAGTGCTCTGGGCCCCCTGACTCCTCTCCACCTCCTCCACTTCTTCCAGCTGTTCGCTAGTGTTGTTCCAGCTCGCACAGAGGTGAAATTGTCAAGAGTGATGTTTTAAAGCTTAGCTAAAGAACATCTCCATTCATCCTCATTCAGGAGTTGGTTGACGTTGCAGCAGATCCTCAGCCCTCCTCCTCAGACAGCAATGTGGGCACGTGGGGATTAATCCAACTGGCACCTTGGTCCATTCCACTGGCTTCGGCTGGCTGCAGCTTGACTCTTGGATTCTTGCTTGATTTAGTCTCTTCTCCTTTTCCTTTCTTCTGTGCTTTTGCTCTTTGCACTCTTCTGACTCCTGTGTGTGCAGCTGGTTTCTCTGTGTAGGCAGAAGATTGTTTTTCTTCTTTTTTTCCCCTTTTCAGCAATGCCACATTTCTCTCAGAGGAGTACAGATGAAAAAAAACAGCATAGATTCTTCATACAGTGTTGCTAGGAGCTGACTCGTTGGTGACTCTGCTCAGACTTCCCAGGACTGTCTCTCGACTTGAAGAGCCCCCCGCTGTTTGACTGGAACAAGAAGTCCTCAAGCCCACCTCCCTCTGCTTCTTTCTGTCTTTCCCTCTCTCTCTCTCTCTTCTCTGCAAATGCTGGAGGTCAGAGTTTAAACGTGGGGGAGTTACTGTTCATCATAGTCCGAGACATCAGTTCGCAACTGCAGCGAGCTTTAAACAGACAGCTCCCTCCTTCATGTTCACTTTAAATATGTGTGTGTGTCGGTGTGTTTGTGTGAGAGAATGTCCAAAAGGCCCCCTCTTAGACGTCACTGTTTGGTGTATTCTTTTGTCTGGAGAGCAGGGGGCGTTCGCTAAAGTCCTCTCTCTCGTGTGCAACAAACACATTGGCCGCCACAGTCAGCCAGCAACAGGATGTGTTTCCTGAGAGGAAAAGGGGATGGGAAGAGGGGCCAAATGTAGACCCGTTTCTTCTCTTGTCTTTCCTTTTCTGGATCTCTAGATCTTGCCGCTCCGTGTGCAGTGAGCTCGACTGTTCACGGCAGTTTTAAATATCTCACTTTTTGACTTGAGGCTTGGTTTTCTGTGTCCATATAAAGTATGATTTTGACCACACTTACTACCCCGACTTTCTTTTTATTTCACTTGGCGTCCCACTTATAGCAGGGCCCCTAAAGATTTGGGGTATTTCCTGTTGCCTAACTTTAATAAACAGCCCACATCTGTATCAGCTAAAGCGAGGAGGAGGGAGGGGATGCGAATACAGACCAGATGGCTGTGGAATCTTAAATTTGGAATGGAAGCTGAAGCAAAGGGGATGACGGGCCGATTTGCGTCAGCAAGACAAAAGGAAAAAAAAGGAAGACATAATGAAAAGCACGCCTCTTGCTTTGAGTTTAAAGTCCTACACTCAGTCTTATAATTTACTCATTTGTTCGGTTATGTGCCTATTTAAGTCTACAGGTTTGTCATCATTTCCCCATTAACATCCATCTCTGGGTCTAAAATATAAACTTAAACTGACCCTAAAATAACTGGAAAGTAATTCCACCGTGCACCAACATTGTATTTTCTCCAACAGGAAATCTCTTATCAGATGTACATGCATGTGTGCAACTGTTTTTGTTTTTGAATAATAAAATACCAGTGCAGTGAACCACACATCACCTTTGCAAACAAGCCATTTCTCTTTTCTCTGTAGTAAAGCGGTATGGGAAAACATGGCCCGGATGTGTGTGAAAACCCGCCGGCTGGATGTGGCACGCGTGTGCCTTGGGAATATGGGAAATGCCAGGGCAGCAAAAGCGCTGAAGGAGGCGGAGGCTGAGCCTGAACCAGAGGCCCAAGTGGCCATGTTGGCCATTCAGCTCGGCATGCTGGTAAGATAGCTGACTGGTAGAGTGTGAATGACTAATAAGACATGCCTGACTCAGTCAAGTTTGTGTCTCCACTATTGTTAATTAATTACTTCAGAGAAAAAGCATAAAAGTTTTATTTAGGGTTCAAGTTAACCTTTCCTATCACATGATATCTTTTAAATTTGGAACAAACGACGGAGATGGGATGTGTAAAAGCATCATACATTCAAAAGCAGAGAAAGGACATTAGACTGACTTTTGTTGAAAAAAGATAAGATAGCAAGAAATACGCTGGCTCCAGTTAAAATCAATTTAGAGGATTTTTTATTTTTATAAAAAATTTTTCATAAATAACCTGTTGTTTGACATAGAGTCAGGTGTGGAAGAAGTATTCAGATCTTTACTTAACTGTGTATCAATACACCAGTGTACAACTCCTGTTTGTGAAATCCTACTTTAGCAAAGTACTTAAATATTAACAGCAAAATACAGCTAAAGTAATAAAGTAAAAGTACTGGTCTGGTCACTTTGAGTGATATTTTATTGTATTTGTTGGATTGTTAGAATGTTAATCCTGAAGCATCAGTGTGTCATCAGCATGTTACAGTTGTATTTGCTGTTATTCAGCTTTATATACAGAAACAGCAGATACATCTCAGGAGTCATGAGGTGAATAGTGGGAGAGAAAAACCAAAGGTCTGACACATAAGTTTGTTTTCAGTTTTTGGACTTTTTCTCTAATTTTGGATTTTTGGTTGATACAGGACCATCTGAACGATCACTGAAATGAAACCAAGTGAGAAGTTTAGTGGGGAAAAAATCTCTATTTGGTGGAGCTGATAACAACTCATAGACATCTGAAATGGGACCTTGATAACACACTGCTTTTTGTACGAAGCCTGAGGCCAAAAAGTTTGAAAACCACTGGTTTAATCTTTAAAACTGCGTTGTATTTTAAAAGCTTGTTATATTATCTATTGTGTAAAATCTTCATTTTAAACTTTCGTCTAATTGTCCTAGAGTAGAACGTGCAGTATTTCTCTCTTAAATGTATCAGAGTAGAAGAATAAAGTAGCATAAAATGGAAATACTCAAATAAAATTCAAGCATCTCAAATTGTACTTAAGTACAATCCCTGAGTAAATGGAGTTACTTTCCACTGCTGCGTACAGTAATGTCACATCCTTTGGCTACAAATAACACATTCTCTTTTTAGGTCCCAGCATTTCACCGCACACAGACCAGGGGACTTTCCAGACCAAAACTCAATTATCTTTCCATCATCTTTTCCTGTCTTCCAACAGGAAGATGCAGAGAAACTGTACAAGAGCTGTCAACGCTATGACCTGCTGAACAATTTCTACCAGGCTTCTGGCCAGTGGCAACAGGCTTTGGACACAGCTGAAACTCACGACCGCATCCATCTGCGCACCACCTACTACAGTTATGCCAAATACCTGGAGTCCATGGGCGACAAGCCGCTGGCCATTGCTTAGTAAGACAGAACCCGTGGTTTTATGTCTGTAGTTTGGAACCAGCATTTGTGACTTTCTGTGCACATTTACCACTGGAAGCAAAGTATGATTATTATCCTTTTTGTTACAGTTATGAGAAATCGGACACACACAGGGTTGAGGTGCCCAGAATGCTCCAGGATGACATCTCATCTCTAGAGATTTATGTCCACAAAATGAAAGACAAGTAAGTCCAGACTGAAGCTTGTCGTCTGCAGAGAATATCACCTGACACTGTGTGCATATACTGTGTTACATTTAAACATGGCTCCTATCGTCATATCAACCCAGAAACATCTATAAGTGGTGGGCCCAGTACCTGGAGAGCCAGTCGGACATGGATGCAGCGCTACGTTTCTATGAGCTCGCTCAGGACTACCTCTCTCTTGTTCGAGTCCACTGCTACATGGGGAACATTCAGAAGGTCACTCAGTTTGCACTACACGAATCATGTAACAGTGTCTTATTGAAAAGGTTGATATTTTGAGGACACCATTGTACTTATTTTAAAATAAGTATTGCACTTCAGACATGAGTTTTCTTAGAAATAGGAAAAATACATATGTGTATTGTTTGTTCGATTCCCAGCAACAATGCCCAGGTTTTACTGCAACAATGATCCCTAACTAAAGACTTCACACGTGATGATGTGCTTGTTTATTTATCAGGCATCTGAGATAGCCAATGACACAGGCGACCGAGCAGCATCATACCGCCTGGCCCGACATTATGAGGGCCACGATGATATCAAACAAGCGGTCCACTTCTACACACGAGCCCAGGCCTACAACAACGCCATACGGCTTTGTAAGGTAAAGCAGCACCGTTCTACCCATCAGCAGCTCAGTTACAAATCTCTGTGCAGATCCAAGATGCGGATATTTATGAATTAAGACTTTTTATTGCTGACTCGTAGTCTGAGTGGTGTACTGAGCTGTCTGTGTCTAAGCAGGAGAACGGCCTGGATGACCAGCTGATGAACTTGGCTCTGCTCAGTAATCCAGAGGACATGATGGAGGCCGCCTGTTACTACGAGGAGAAAGGCACTCATATGGACCGAGCTGTGGCGCTTTATCACAAGGTCGGTCACCATTTTCACTCTGTGTTTGGGTTGATGCATTCTGAATCTCTCCACAAGGGGGCAGCATTGCAACATGCATTAAAACTTATCAACAAGGAAAAAAAAACCTAAACCCTATCCAATCAGCACTATGTTTACAATAATTTCTCTCTTGTAGGCTGGTTATGTCTCCAAAGCTCTCGAGCTGGCCTTTGCCACCCAACAGTTCTCTGCCCTTCAGCTGATTGCAGAGGATCTGAACGAGAACTCTGACCCAGCCCTACTCGCTCGCTGCTCTGACTTCTTCATCACACATTCCCAGTTTGAGAAGTCTGTGGATTTACTGGTAGCAGCCAAGAAGGTATGAAACATTATGACCTGCTTTCCCAGGGATCTATTCGCATGTGCTTACTTATATTGGTATGTCTTGATTCAAGATTAACTTTATTGTCCCAGGTGTGGGAAATTTGTCTTGGGCTTTTTCTCCCATGCTGCAGCCAACACAAGCATACACAAACAGGGAAAATACAGTTAATAGAAAGAATAAATAAATCAAATAAAAACAGAATAAAATGAATATCCTGGTCTAATTTAGTGAGTCCAAAGACATGGCACTTTTAAGAAAAAACAAAAGACAAAAAACAATTACAACTATTTTACTTATTAATTAACCTGATCGATGCTGGAACAAATGAATTTTTAAACCTGTTCGATCGGCAGCGTGGGGCTCTGAGCCTTCTTCCAGTAACGTGTTATCAATAGACAGCCCTAGATAAGTGTAAGTGTTCACCTGAGCAATAGTTTGATCATGGATGACCACTGGCCTGTGGTCACCAATCCCCCGGGGGTCAAACACAGTTTCTTTTGTTTTGCTTGTGTTTAACACTGGGTACCTGTCGTCACACCATTCAACAAATCTTTGAATTTCTTCTAAGTATTTAGTATTTGACACTTCTGTGTGTATGTATACCCAGTACCATCAAGCCCTGGAGCTGTGTTTGGCCCAGAACCTGACTATCACAGAGGACCTGGCTGAGAGAATGACTGTCACAGATGCAACTGACTTGTCTGAAGAGGCTCGCAAGGAGCTGCTGGAGAAGATCGCTGACTGCTGCATGCGTCAGGGCAATTACCACCTGGCCACCAAGAAATACACACAGGCAGGCAGCAAACTCAAGGTAAACATGTGCCGTGTGGTAAACCCTTGATGGAGTCTCTGAAAGCTCAGAACATCCTGTATGTATTTGGGTGATATGACAAGGGACAAACTCTCTGGTCTGTCAGCCTGATGCCAGGTGTTCTACTAACAAATATGATCCTGAAAGCTTTAAAGGTTTTGTTGTTTTTCTGTTTGACAGGCCATGAGGGCGCTCCTTAAGTCAGGCGACACAGAGAAAATAATATTCTTTGCCAACGTTTGCCGTCAGAAAGAGCTTTTCATCATGGCTGCCAACTATCTTCAGTCTCTGGACTGGCGGAAAAATGTCGAAATCTTAAAGACAATCATCGGTTTCTACACTAAAGGCAGAGCACCAGACCTGCTGGCTGGCTTCTATGAAGCTTGTGCTCAGGTGGGGCAACACTCACAAACACTCACTATCAAAATATCAGTTAAGTTCTTGACAGTTATCATGAACTGATTATGAATTAAGAATGAAAACTTTAAAATATACGTTTTTTCATTTCAGGGGTCTTAAATGAGCCTCTCTTACCCGTTATTATTGTTTTATTAAATGACTAAATAGCAATAATAATCTTCAGACTAAAGTATGGTTCCTAAATACGTGTGTTAGCTGTGGTTTTATTTTGTTACAGTCATTGTTAAACAAAGACAAAAAGCTTTTAGTACAGCCAAAATGTACAGTTTTTGCTTGTAATTTAACTTTTAAAAAGTATAAAAAATCTGAGAAAATGTTTTTGAGCTGAAAGTTATACTAATTTTTTTTTCTTTTTTCCATGGTTAAGGTGGAGATTGATGATTACCAGAACTATGAAAAGGCTCTGGATGCACTGACGGAGGCTTCCAAGTGTCTCTCAAAATCAAAGGAGGCTTCAACTGGACAACATGAAGCCAGACTGGCTGACCTGCAGCACAGGATCACACTGATCAAGAAGTTTGTCCACATACGCAGGTATGAATATGCAGTCATGTGAAAGAGTAGCTTATGCTAACATGTTCCATAAAAAATGTTGCTTTGTTAAAATAGTTACCTGCTGATTCTGTGATGAAATTTTGGGGCTCTTGGAAAGTTTTTTTTTGCATCAAACATTCTGCTCTTGGCCTGAATTTGCTGAAAGGGTCTGTTCTGGACAAACTGGTCGTCTGTGCGACTTGTTGATGATTTTCATCACAGTAGAATGATTTATTTCAAATAGTTTGGAGATCTTTTTGAATTCTTCCCCAGACTTCCAGGCATCCACAACCTCTTCTGTAAAGTCATTAGAAAAGCTCTTTAAATCTTGGCACGATGACACCACACACATCAACAGCAAAGAGAACACCAGACTCTAGATGTCAGAGGTTTAAATGAGGCTGGTTCCACCTGTGGAGGTGTGATGAATGTAGGGGCGTACCGCTTGGTTCCTGTGACTAATCTGTTTTTTTTTTAATGTATTTAAATCATGAAAATTACAGCAAAATGTCAATTTTATGTGCTGTTTGTTTGATTATTCAGTATTTATCTGTAGACGCTGCTTCACAGAGTGAAAGTGTTTGCTTGTCAAAGTATGTAAAAAAATAAAACCTCATCAATTTCCATACGTCCTTTTTCATGCAAGTGTAACTCATAGTTCTTCTTCTTCATAATAAATTCCTCCTTTTTCCTTGCAGAACAGATTTTTTCTCTTTTCTCTGATCTTCACATGATGCTTGAAGCTTTCCCCGTCTGTCTGCAGGTTGTACGCTGAGGATCCTCGTGAGGCGGCCCAGCTATGTGAAGCCCTGCTGGAGGAGCCGGAGCTGGACCCCGCTGTCAGGATCGGAGACGCGTTTGGTTTCCTCATCGAGCACCATTGTCAACAAGGCAGCTTTCAAGTGGTGACTGTCATCTTTTTTTTTCTAGCCTTTTTAATATGTAAAAGCACACTTCTGAAAATGATGTTAACTCCAGAATAATCTCACATTTTGCCAGATTTCTAAGAATAAACACCTCTAATCCTTCTCCAGGCCTACCGTAAGCTGGAGGAGCTCCAGAAGATGGTGCCATCACAGAATGTTAGGTACTACATTAGCCAGGCCAGCCTAGAGGCCCTGCAAGAGAAGATGGGTTTATCACTGGGTCACGATGACGGCAGGCACAGTGTGAAGGAGGAGGATGAAGTGGAGGAGGACTTAAATGTGTCTTAACTATGACATTTGGAAAAAAAAAAAAAAACAAGAAAAGGGAAGAAAAAAAGAACAGCAATTTTTGCAATAATAGGAACTTCACTGTCACCATGTGACTACTGTGAAACATTGACAAAAAAACTGAAGGGAAAGACGCTATACAAAGGCCACATCATGGTACCTTCAACTTCCAAACTCATGAGGGTAACTGACTTAAGAAGATGTCTGTTACCTCAGAGAACTGGTTTGACCTGCAAAACACACGACCTGGAAAATCAACACTACACATTCTAATATAATGTTAATGGAGCTCATGAACATACGGTGGGTCGCAACATTTTAAAATGTTCAATATAATTAATCCTCAATGTGTTTCACATGCATAAGGTACTTAAAATTCTGATTATATCGAGGCTGTTTGGTTCTATTTAATATTTGGTTTAACTGTTTGTACTGCAGTTTTTTTTTTGTTTTTGCAGAATGGTTCAGATTGAAGAAAAGATGATCGGATATTTACATATATTACATGAGAATATCCTCTCAGTGTCAAAGTTTATATCTCTGTATAATATTTTGCAACTATTTTTGATAGCCTGTGAGGCCGCACTTCCACGAGTATCTTAGACTGTGAATTCTAATGTTACAATACAATGTAAAGTTCTTACAATAAAACAGGTTTAAAATTAAATCGGGTTGTAATGTTTTTATATCAGTAGTGACGCTCATAGGCCTGTAATAAATCGTAATCGATCAAACAAACTGATGGAAATCGGGAATATAGTAGAATACACTTCACAGCTGCGATCACCAGGGGGCGCTGTTGTCAGTGAAATTCAACTATCTCTCCTCTGATAGTGGCTCCAATCTAATTTTACTAGACAGAAGATGGAATAAACATGTAAATTAATAGCTAAATAATACATAAAGTTGCTAAAGGTCTTCCATACGGTCTATATTTTACGACACAAATACTGTAAACTGTGTATATTTATGCTCAACAGGATGAAGCCGGCAAACTAACAGTGGTGATAGTTAAAAACACCACTGGGTGGCTGGAATCTTCCTCAGTTTAACAGTGTGGTTTTTGGTTCATTTCTTTGGATGACTAATTAAATACTTCAGTATCAAATGAGACGTGAACAAAAAGAAAGTGTACAGTTTTGTGTTGTGGAGTCATGGCAACACAGTGTTGGTGGATACAAGCAGCTGTTGACAGTGAATCAAGATGGACGCTCAGGACCAGCAGCCAACTTTAAATCAACTTCAGGATCAAGTTCAAGCTCTGACACAAGAAAATGTGAGTCAAATATACAGTCCTGATAACACTCTAGAACCCACAAGTAGTGCTCTCGCTTTTCACTGCTGACATGGGAGTTATTGATGTGGATAGCTTAACTCTGAAGAAGAAATCTGTAGCTGCCCTAGAGGGAGAAAAAGTGCACAAATACACACATTCAGTCAGTAATGTGTTTGAGACTCTATATAATCTGTTAATGCTGTATATTCTAATGCTAAAGATAAATGAGCCACCCTGTGATGCTGCCTTTCTCTGGTGCTGTTTAGTGATAACACTTCAGCGCTTGATATAAAACCCAGATAATGTTTCACGCTCTCCTTATGTTTTAAAATTATTCCAATGTTTTCTTAACAGTTTCATTCAAATTAATTGCATGAATAGTTTAAAACACTGGCATATTAAACCTGTTGTCTTTCTTGTGGCTTTAACAGCTGAACTGGCAGCTATTAAGCTTTTATAGGAGGCAGGACAGGATTTTCACTCTGCATCATTTGATCAGTAGCCTAAAGTCAGTCCGTTCTCTGAATTAGCTGAATTTTGCTCAGTTGTGTTCTTTAGTGCAGAGATTTAACAAAATCAATACTTAACTTTACTCCTGTTTCATCAGGCCAGACCTGATTCAGAAGCCATGTAGCACTTCTGGTACCATTGTCTCCCTTAAACAGAGTCCATCTCTGATTACTGTGTATCAGAGAAGCTCCTCATGTGTCCGACCTGCTGCCATATTCTGTTTGTCGTTAAGCAAACACACTTCTCTAGATCTGCTGCTGTGAGACTGTGAAACAAACCACAAAATCTCTTAAAACTACACTTGATGTGACTGAAAAGTAGTTTGACTTTCATCATCAGATCAGACTTTACATACAGTAAAATAATACTCCAGTGTTTTTGATCTACTATGTAGTATTTTCAACCTCTTTGGTGCATGATTGGTATGATAGATGGGTTATTTTTTATTATTCTTACTTTTGGAAAACAAACAGACAAGGACATTTAGATCTATTCATAAATCATCTGTGCCTACATATAAATAAAAGCCCTTCCTCATGTAGACTTTAAGCAGGTTAACGTTCCTAACTGTGTCACCTAATCTACCTCTGTGTTTCTTTTCACCCCACCTTAGTTGCACTTGTTTGACAAAAACAAGCGTCTTTTCACCAAAGTGGGCTACCTGGAGAGCAGACTGGGCCACCTGGCCAGCTCCAGCACAGACCTGTCCTGCAGGCTGGTCCAGAGCGAAGAGGAAAGACTGAAGGTAGCTGAAGCTCCAGAGCTGTGTCAAACATTTATAACTTTCATCTATATTGAGTAGTATGTAAGTACCACTTGCAGGCTTTGCTCAAAGGGCCAGAACAGGATATATAAGGCTTTAGTGGTTCACTGATGTCAGAAGAATCAGAATCTCTTTATTGTCATTGTGCAAGAAAGCACAACGAAATTGGAGTTAGCAGCTCTTGTGGGCAGTGCAAAACATCAGGAAACAAAAAGTGCACAAGACATGGGGGGTGGGAAGAATATAGAATGAAAGAAAATAAAAGAATATTGAATAAAAAATCTGAATATAAAATAAAGAAATATAAAAACACCTGGGATATTGCATTTAAGAAGAGTGATTAATGGGAATTTGTGGCGTTCAGGGCAACGACAGCTCTTGGGTAAAAACTGTTCTTTAGTCCCTTTGTCCTTGTCTTTATTGCCCTAAAACGCCTTCCTGAGGGTAGAAGTTTGAGGAGGTGGTGGCCGGGGTGTGAGGGATCTCTGATAATGCCGCGGGCTCTCCTGAAGCAAGATTATTCAACTCTTCACCCACAACAATCTTGAACTGAAGTTTTAATTTCAGAACTGTGTGGAAATGTGAGCAGCATGAATAACTTTGCTGCAGCATTTTGAACTAACTGTAGCCAAGTAGCAGTGGGAAAGAAATAACTTGTCTAATTTTTCAGACATCTAAGGAGCTTGTGGAGGAGAAAATTCAGACGAACAAGATGAGAGAGCGATATGAAGAAGAGACATTTGAGTTGAAAAACAAGGTGAGGCTTCTCCAGAAGTACGTGATGTAGTGGTAAATAAAATGTGAGTAATATTTGGCCTCCTTAAACCAGTTGGAAATAATATCAGCTGCTATGCTGAATAAGAAGATGTCAGTCCACCAGTATGAATATCTTCTGTTCTCGCTTTAAAAATGTGTTTTCATAAATAAAATCGTCCTAGAGGTGATTTAAAGGGACTTTCTCATTGGTTCCCTTCCACAACATCCCTACTCACAGTCTTATACTGGACCACTGAGGATGCCTGTGTGTTTGGATTCAATATTTCTCGATTACTGATAATGTTGTGTTTGATACCTGATTCTCAATAAAACAAAAAAGAATTTAAAGATGTGCAACTTTGACTGTGATGCAGCCACTGTTCTTTATCTGCAGTCACTCTGTGGTCTCAACAGTCTCCTGCTCCCAGCATCTGATTGGTTACACCCCACTAGTAAAAATTTATCAGAACTAAAAGATAAATGCTGAGAAGTTCTTTTTTAATTATCCAACTAAGTTTTGTGTTGCAATTTGTTATTCTACATTTCCACACCATCACTTTTACTGTCATGTTGGTTATCAGCCCTTTGATGGCCAATAATTGGCATCGGCTTTGAAAAAATAAAAATAAAAAATCAGTCGAGCCCTAGTCTGTGCTGCACTTTTCTCCTCTTGTCAGATATTAAACCAAGACGGCGTGATAACCGAGCTCGAAATGCAGCGAGACAAGTTGTTCCAGGAGCTCCAGTCGGCTGAAGCTTGTCTGAAAGTGAAGGAGGAGAGCAGCCAGGAGCTGACTTCAGAGTACGCCACGCTGAAGAACAGCTACCTGCTTCTGACTGAGGCCCATGATAAAGAGCTGGCTCAGAGTGATGAGCTCAGTGCAGAGCTGCTGGCGTTGGCCCAGGCCCAGGACGCCCTCCGCAGGCAGCTGGAGGAACAGCAGCAGAGTGTGGAGACCACCACCCAGGGCCTTCACGGGGAGCTGGACAGGGTGCGGGCCTTAATCAGCCGAATGTCACAAAACAGGGTCAAGGTGAGACTGGTGGTCGTGTTGATCCTGGTTAAAGGGTGCCTTCAAGAGAATTATTGTTGTTGTGATTACAATAGAATCACACTGTTGTTGTCCTCACACTATCATTCAGGTTGGTGACATTTTTGCAAACCATCCCTCCAATTAGTCAGTTTCAAATGATTAAGACAGATCAGGCTAGGTTACGGGATATGAAAGTGCCATGGCATTTGTTTGTGGCCCTCTACTGGTATTTCACCTTCACAGCAGCAGAAGAATACAAAACATGAAAGCAACATGTGATAAAACACGATGAGCTCCCCGTGGTTGTAGCTCTGCTTTAGAAAGGGTTTCTTCTAAATGTCAGGTTGCAAGTTCGGTACCAGCTTCCTTCTGTTGAACCATACAAGCAGCTCCCTGCAATCACACTTGCAATTTCTCCTGAAATCACCCAGCTTGGTTTTGTTTGAAAACCACTGGGACTCAAGAGCTTTAAGCAGAACATGTTGCTTACATGTCTGTTTATGCAACCAGCTCAAAATGATGTACCTTTGGGTGAATGGTTTCCTGCTAAAGACAAAGCGTCCTTCGCACTAAATTTAATGCCACAAAACATTCATTACGCTGTAGAAAGGTCTTCATTTTGAGTGAAATAAAAATGTCTGTTTGTAATTTACTAGTTATTTAACATGTAATAAAAATACTGTAATTGTATTAACAGCCTGAGGATCTAGCAGCACTGGACAAGGAGCAAAAAACTATGGAAAAATCTGTGAGTATTTCTGTGCAACATACATCTCATTACTAGAGACGGTGGCCAACACATGTGTCTTACAGGCATCGGTGAGCTACAATTTTAAGTTGCTGCCCACTTCTTATGGCTTTTTATTCCTTTGCTTTCACATAGCTGCTTGGAAACCAACATGAGATCAAAGAGATGCTGGAAAAAATGAGGAACAGCTACGAGGAGCGGCAGAAGAAACTGGAGGAGAAAGTGTGAGGGCCGGTTGAATGTTTGTCATTTACTCGTGTGCGAGCTTAATCAAGATAAAACATGATTATCTTTCCATTTCCAGTCATCAAACAACCAAAAGCCGTCTCAGGATGCATGTCCCACACGCATCTGCTTCGTGGTGGCGTCTTTTGATTTCTGTTCTAAGCTGTGGCCTCATTTGCCGTGCGTGTGATGTGGTCTCTTTGCTTCCTCCCTGTGATGTGGCCGGCTGTGGATTTCTGGTCACCGCTCTCTTGTGGTCGGGCCTGTGTTTGGTCATCAGGGTGGCGATGGGTAAAGAGCAGCAGCAGAACAACAGAGCCATGCATGTTAGTCAGCAGAAACTGTCGGAGCAGAGTGCGGTGAGCCCGAACGGTCCTCAGTTACTGATTTACACAACATTCCTCAAATTACTGGAGCGCTAACACTTGTTTGCAGCCTCTGAATTGCTCTATAGTAATGTCAGATGGTTAAAAATGGTGTGTTTAAACTGAAATAATGTTTGTGCTGTTTCCCCTTTGAGGCCCTGATGTGCTCTCAGAGCCAAATGAAGGAGGTGGAAGAAGAGAACTCGAAGCTGCAGCTGCAGGTCAAAGAGCTGAATGAGGAATATCGTGCGAGGCTGGTTTGTTATTTACAGGACTTAGCTGTGAGTAGCTGAGCACACAGAGCACTTTGACAAATAGATTTCAGAGGGAATCGTCGGATTTGTTGGATTTTCTATGTGAGTTTTGAGAGAATTATCCTGAATTTTGAAAAAAGTCCAATCCCTAATATTTATTCTTGCACTCTAGAAAGTTTGTTACCACCACTTCATTAAATGCATTGTTTCTGTGGCTCATTGTCTGTTGTTTCAAATGTGCTACATACCTTACCTTGATATTTTAAAGTAAGATGATAATCTAGATAATACATGCACAACATCATTCCATCTCTGTGTACCTCCAGGGCTACATCGATGGGGTTAAAGAGAGTCAAAGTCCCTCAGAGCAGAGCAGGATGAGGACATTTGTGGACAGCATGCTGCAGGATGTCCGTTCGTCCTACAGGGCCAGAGAGGAGCAGCTCGCCTCCGCTGCTCGATCCTATAAGAAGAGGCTGCAGAAGATCACCAGAACTCATCATGCTCTGCTTATTACATACAGGTGACGCTGTGCTGTTTGTTTATGTGCTGATGTTTAGTATATGTTCTGCTAACACAATGCTGGAACTTGTGACACCAGTTGTTCAGAACTTTTTGCACCTGTGACCCGTCACTGTGGAGTACCGGAGGCCACTGGAGAAATACAACTGAGGTGACACTGCAACCCACCTGACTCAGATTAATGGATCAACAACAGACTTGTGTAGAACTTGACAACAAGCTGTTAGAGATCCATTCATCTGAGTCAGGTGTGTTGCAGTATGGAAACCTGCAGGACAGTAGCTCACGAGGACCGGAGTTGGAAACCCCTGATCTACTATATACTGATTATCTTGCTACATCATCATTGTCTTTAGCGTTCAGAGGGACCAGATTTTGGCGAACCCAGAGAGCGGTGTGGACCCCGGGCCTCCAGAAGCCCACTTCAGCCCGGAGCCCGCTGAGCTGAGAGACGAAGCCGAGAAGGAGCTCCAGCGGCTTCGCCAGGACAAGGCGAGGCTGGAGGGTCAGCTGCAGGTAGCACAAAAGAAAGATGGCTGCTTTGAAGTGGATTGAGCTGCTTTTGTTTTGTCTACTGAAAGCTTGCATTTAGTCTGCGGGGAATTCTGCTTTGTGTTCATGTTTCCAGTACAAAGACAAAGAATATTTGTTCTGTGAGTGGTGATATGGAAAAATGACTTCAAAAGTTTGTCTCCTACGGCTACAAAAAAACAGCAGAGGTGGACTGTAGATCGATTTGCTGCTGTGAATCTATCTGGTTGCCGACATGGTGACAGTTGAAGCAGTGAAAGCATTTTAAAATTTATTTTAGATACTTTTTTAGATCAATTGTCTTTTTGGGAAATATGCAAAGTAGAGCAGTGACACTGAAAAAAGTTAGTTTTCATTCCATTTACAGAACAAGCAAGACAGAAATGGTTAATTATTGAGCTTTAGATTTGCTGGTAATGAATTATATTACTTTAAGACCATAACAGGATCTTTTTCCTTATTTTCTTCTTTATCAAACTCTCAGTAAGAATGTAAATAAACTGATTTCCCAAAGTGTCACACGACTCCTTTGACATTTTCTGACTTAACTGTGTGAGTAAAGTTCATAAAATCAAATTGATCTTCAAATATAACAACTTTTTTTTCTCACTTTTAAGGAACAGATTAAATTGTGTTTATATCACCCTCTCCAAACCTCCATTTATATTGCCGTATTATTTTACATACGTTTCTGTCCAACATATAGTAATTCTAGATCTCTATCTTGACTTTTTTGTGTTTTCAGATGGCTGTTTCCCAAATGCCTGCGAAAAGTTTAAGCCATCAGGAGTGAGTATTTTTTTTTTTTTATTTGACCGAATGATTAATGTGCTCAGCTGTGCATTGTTGCCCAAGAAATTTCTGAAAAATGTAACTTTATCAGGCATCCGGGGCAGATATGTGAGGAATCCTGGCTGGACGTAAAGAAACAGCTGAGGCAGATCACAGACTCTACGCTGGTAAACAAATCTCCTCTGTGCTTAACTTTTATATTGTCTGATTAAAATGAAGATTAATCCAGTTTTCTGTGATTGAGGCGATTTCAGTTTTTTTTTTTTCTTCCAACAGGTGGGCTTTGAGAAGGAACGTGCCCTTCTGGTCACCAGGGCAACAGTTGCCGAAGCGCAAGTGCTGGAGTTGCAGGATTACGTTGACGACCACCTGGTCAGGTGAGGAGGACGCTTGAAGTCGTACGATGCTCACCCTCAGAAGTATATTGAGCTTTGCTTACTTCCTGCAGGTATAAACAGGAGATCACGCATCTCCGCAGACTGCATGGGATGGAGGATGCTGGGCATTCCCGGAGTGCCCATTCATCTCTCCATTGAGAAAACTAGCAGAGAAATCAGAAAGCTGCTCATGCACACAGCTTGGAGTTGTAAAATCCACACATATGCGGACTAGGAATAAACAGAAAGCGTAAAAATGATACTTTAGCTGATGAGCAATTTTTTTTCTTCACATAAATCCAGCTGAACTCCCCATTTTAGGCATTTAAACCCACATGCGACCACTTCTGTTCCACCATCAGTAGGTGGTGCTGCTCATGCTGATGGTTTCCTCCATGAAAGGCCCCCCAAAGAAATCTGGCCTTGAGAAAAAAATGCCTGGAATGTTTGTAAAGCTTATGTCAATTTCACGAGCCCGGGAGAAGAAAGCGATGTGACAATGAGGGGTCACCCTGGTGAGAATAATGTCATTACATGTTACCCAGACACGTACACGCCCGTGAATACTTTCCCCCTTCAATGCAGCGCTGAGAACGGCGAGGGCAAACAAACCGGGCTTTTTCCAGGATGGAAGGGTTCATATTTATAACCTCGGTGATGGCATGAATAGGCAACTATTCCCTTTAAATCCCTTTAACAGTGAAAGGGTCTGCATTTTTTTCCTTCTTCTGCTTGTGTGTGTGGTGGCTGGGCTTCGTGCAATAGTGTGCAGCCGACTGAACTTTGACATTAGAAAGAGGGTTCAGCAGGAATGTGGTCAGATAATGTTGGAAAAAGAGAAAATATTGTAGCTGAGGTGCTCTGGGGAATGATGGGAAAAATAGAAAGAGTCATACGCATGTCACCCCAATTCCCTTTTCATGGGGCATGCCAGCCGAGGGAGGGAGGAGGGGGGGAGGTCGGGGTGTGAAAGTTTGAGAGGAATGGGAAGTGGGATTTTGTTAGTAATGTATTACACTCCCAGGGCCCTGGGAAAAGGGGTAGGAGGTGGGTGGGGGGGTGTTCGGCTTGGGTCGGTGCCAACATAGTCACTGTGCCAAAAAGGCTGGGTGCTGCTGCAGGGGGACCACTCCTCTCACCGGAGGATCTGTGGGAAAAATCCAAAACCAGGTTGTTGTGCGCTGCTCGGTCACCAAACACACAGCGGCGACGTGTCTCGCGGAGGCCTCTGCGCGAATAAAATTAAGTAAATAAAATGCAGTGGAAACTGGAACGTTCTAAAAGCGCAGTAGTGCGGTGCACCACAGCTGGTGCCCCCGAGGCAAAGTGCCAACTTTTCTTCCCCGAGTTTTTTTGGAAAAGTTGACTTGTTGGTATGTGAACAGCTATTTGTCTCGCGTTTATGTGGCCGCTATGCTATTATATTGTAAATACTGAGCATGACAAGTGTTAGATTGGACTCAGCTGGATGTTAAATAATGGTTTTCCACCATGATATTGTTTAAAATAGTTTGAAAAAAAGAGGTTCCACAAAAAGCAGCAGCTGGCGATAACATCTGCAGTGACTTTACGATGGAGCAACCAGCAGGCTGACTGCAGTGAAGTTAAAGATGGTGGTTTATCACAAAATCTGAGTTATTTAGAAATCTTAATGATAGCAAGGAGTTGACTTTTCTCAACCAAAATGGGCATAAAATGTGCTTCCTGTGTGTGTGAAGATTCTCAGTCATCCAGGTCGTGGTTATTCTGGTAGTTTAATCGTAGCAACTGGACTTGCTTGAGTTCCTTGAAGACGTTTCACTTCTCATCCAAGACGCTTCATCAGTTCTGACTGACTAGTTGGGAGATCCAGATACTTGTATCCTTAAAATGCCATTTCATCCCCTACACTCCATGCAGTAAACCAGTTGATCTGAAGCAATAACTGAGTGATGAGATATTAAATGTCCATGTGGTGGATGTCAGCTAACTGGGAGCAGAACTAAGTGTTAAATGCAACAACTCTTCATGTAATTAGTGTAACAAGCCACTGGTGGTCCGTCTTTTCAATCCAACCAATTCATATTTAAATGCTTTATTCATTCTTAATGGTTTTATGATTTCACTAATTAGCCTTTTATTTTTCTTCTTGTCATTCTTAGACCAGTTGTCTCATTTGTGTGCCAACGTCTTTAGTTTCTTACTCAGCTCTATTGTTAATAAGGCCTCCAAATCTCAATGCAGTTTGAGTTTAAAGACTGAACTAATATTTTTCTGAAATATTATCACTGATCCCTTCATGCAAAAAAGTGCAGGACAAGTTCTAACAAGTTCTTCAATGCAGTGACTACATTTTAGGCTTTAACCACAAAAAGAACAATCAAATTGAATGAACTTGTTTGTGTTGCATTGAGGATAAAACTCTAAGTTTCCATGTAATGGTTTTAGTTTTAGGTGTATTGCAATCTGTTCTGTCATATTTGGCCTGTTTAAATGATTACAGTTCATGCATGTCATCCACTGCACTCTTTCATAATTGCAAAAAAAAAGAAAAGAAAAAAGACTTTGTGCTCGTTGTTCATGCTCTTACTGCAGCAAAAATGTTTGAGATTCTTTTTGTCCTTTTAAACTATCACAATAAAACACATTTAGTTATTAAAATCTAATATCTAAATGTGTTTTATGCAATTCATCCAGGTGTAACACAACCACTAGTAACACAATACAGTGTTGTGTTTGTCTTAAACACAATCCAGCACCACATTTCTGAGCAGTTTTCAGTCAGTCTCTCAGACTGCTTAGACATGATGAGACATGCTGCATGATTTTTCAAAAAACGTTCAAAATATACTATTGTGTGAATCCAGCAAAACATCAGGCAGAAGGTTAAAAGAATAGAATTTGTAAAAAAGTTTGAAGTGGGGCTGAACGGTTCGCAAAAAAATAAGCTCTTGCCATCATTTTGACAGGTTTTCCTATCGTAATTTGGGTGAACATTTTAGTGTGAATGATAATTTTTGCTTCATCTTCCACTGAAAGAAATGATGAAGTGATGTTATCTGCACTGTGTAGCACACATGCATGTTCCCTTACATCTGGAGAACTTGATTTATCAGCCAAGGCAGATCTGTAGCACCACAGCGCTTCATCTTAAATAGTTTTCCACACATTTTAACCACAATTTGATCAAAAAAAAAGAATTGCAGCTCTTGCTATTTGGATATTGCACTGCCATTTTGATAATATTCCAATCAACTGTTCAGCTCTAGTTTGACCAAGAACACAGATAACAGTCTTGTTTAGGTGAAGCCGTTCCACTGCAGGGCCCCGACCTAATCAACATCACAACCGCACGTAAACATTCGACGCTCGTTCTCGACTCTCTTCTGTTTTGTTGATGTTGCTCCGCGCACAGATTTGTTTTGGTGGTGGGAAAGTTGGAAAAAAGGTTGGATGAATGTGTCGTTCTGAGGATGGGAAGCGGGGTGTAGCGATGCAGAGGAAGTACCTCACATGGCTCGCGATGGGCCGCTCGTCAAGAGGCCCTTTGTTTTAGGAGGTTAATGCCTAATTGATACAGGCTTAATGAGAGCGAGCTGTGTGTGCAGAGTGTGTGAGCCGGGGGGCTGGACGGCCCGGCCATAATTGGAACGGACAAGCCTTGTGTGGAGGAGTGTACGGGGAAGGGATTTATGGGAACGCAAGGAAAAGGAGAGGCCGAGTGGGAAGAGAAGGTGACAATGAGAGCGAGGAATGTGGAGGCAGTGGGAGAGGAATCTGCTGTGATAGTGAGAGTATTGCAAGATCATGAGGAAAAAAAAAGACAATGAAAAGATGGCCTTAGAGTTAAACCAGGATGCTCTCGTGGAAGTTCAGCCAGTGCATGCTCACATATTATTGGCTTTATCGTGCATTATGAGTTATATACAGTACAACTGATGGCAAAATAAACTTTTCTGGGACACCTGCCTTTTCTGATGAGCTGTCTTTTCACCCCCTCTTTCAATCTGACAGTGTGAGACTATTCATGCAGCAGTCCTCAGCTTCCCTCCAGACAAGCTTTCAGTCTGAAGGCTGGAGAGGCATTAAGAGGGAGGAGGGGAAGGGGAGCACAGAAGAACCGTGCACTTCAGAAAACCTTGAAGAATTAGGACTGAAAGCTATGGAGATTGTGGGTGGCTAGGAGAGAGGAGAGAAAGAAAAAAAATATGTGCATAATTATAAGGATGAGAGGGAAAACAATAAAAAATGATTTTTTTTTTTTAAAGCTTAAGCAGGATGAGCTGCAAAGAGCCAAGTGGTAAAATGTGATGAAAATGCAGCGTGTGGAAGAAAGAGAAGAAAGAGACAAAAGAGAGGAGGAACAGTTACAGTGAGAAAGACGGGAGGGAGGCAGCTTGATGAACAGGAGCGAGTGAGAATGAGGCTGAGTGTCGGCGAGGGAAGCACAGAGGGACAGACCCTCTGCTTTCCCACACTCGGCGGGTTCCCACAGTGGACCCGGCTAATCCCTGTCTTAATTGGGGGAGAATTCCAGCGCACATGTTCCACTGGAATGAGTGTAGAGCGAAGGGAGAGGAAAGCTCGGCAGCTCCTCGCACATCAGACAGGCCCGGGCGGCTGGCCTGATGCACAATGTGCCAGTGCACTTTGTCGGAGTATAAACACGCCGCCGGACTGTCAGCACATCTGATGCATAAATGGCTTCGCGAGTTACTCTGTTTCGTTTTTCCTTTCACTCGATCCAACGGGAGAAGTGTTCTTAGCAGCCACTTAGCATTGCTTAGCCGCATTCCAGCATGTGAGAAGTATGTAAGTTAAAAGTTTCCTTTTATGAAAAGGACAAATAGTTCCCTCAAGAATTTCACAAGGTTTGATTTACCCAAGTTTTAGAAAGAAATGTTATTCCCTTAGCTCTAGTGTTAGCCAGCCATGAGCACTTTCAGGCCTGTGTGCCAGGATTTAATGCTGTTTGGTGATATCCAGAAGAAAACTGGTGAATTAAATTAAGTTTAAGGCGCCAAAAGCCTTGATGATGGCATTTTACCCATACATGTTGCTATTAAAACCTTTTGATATGTCTGTAGATTGAGTGGGATGTTTTTGGTATTACATTTTTTCTAATAGTCTCAAGACAGCACTTAAATTCCACTTTTCTCCTTTGTATTGGGGTTGCAGCAGAACTTTTTAAAGCTCAGCCAAAATATCTGCACAGTGCACTCCACCAGGGACAGGAAAGAAAGTATGTTACTGAGAAGAAACTATGCTCTAGGAGTGGCAT